TGTTGGAACATGACCTTTTACATCTGAGACCAACGTGCGAACAAACCCTCTCCTCATCCAGCTCATTGAAACGTGCGATGTTCCAGGTTCCCTGTGCTAATCCCCCCCCACACACACACACACACACAAATCTAGACACACCCAGACCCAGAACTGCAATGTACTGTAAGAACACACAAACACACAGAGTAGCCACAGACCTAAATGTTGTCTATGTTGTCTTGAAGGGTTATAATAAAGTAGTCAAGCATTTGCATTTTACGGAAACCTCAAACAAACACTATTCTTCCGTCCTGCACCTGTCCTTTGTAAATAAAGCAGGACACTAAGACACTGCAAGCCTTCATTCTGATTTATTTAAATCTGTGTTTTGGCTGTTCACAATATTTTTTGAATGTGGCCTATATCAGATTTCAGAGTGAACAGTTCCTGAAGTGAACTGCATGCCTAATGTCAATCTAGAGTGACACAAAAGTCTCACAAACTCTGATATGGCTGTTCACACAGAAGTTGCATTGCAAAAAAAAACGATCTGTGTCTGATCTGTGCTGTTCACACTGTCAGTGTGCAGTGTGAATGCAGCCTAAGACGGAAGCTTTTCAGGCCAAAAACTGACAAAGAGAACAGCTGAAGGAAGGGACATCCAGAACTTCACTTCACACCAATAGAAAAAAAACAGAGAGTCATAAATCTAGTCCATCCTCACTGTCTTTACTGACCTCTATCAGTTGGACAATTTGGCCGCGGCGGGTGGAAGTGCAGGTCAGGGACCAGTGAGTGAGACGAAAAGATTTGCAACGGGGTATCATCTCTGGCTCCGTCCCACATTCCTCCACTTCTGGGGAGCATAACTTCGTCGCCTCCCTCCTCCTGCCGCCCTCCCTTCCATCCCTCCATCACTCCCCACCTCCCACCTCCCACCTCCCTGTCAGACTGACGTATCTATTACACCATCTCGGTCCAAACCACAATTGACATTTATGACTCACCAATTTCACAGTTTAATGCCTCAAGTGCACTTTCCCCATAACAATACACCTCAGAGAAGTAACCGATCTCGAGGGTAACACAAGTTGATCTCGAGGTAGTTAATATTAGCGTGGGACAAAAGTAGTTTGTGTGTGGAAAGTAAAATGCAGCTGTGACAAATTTAAATGAATGCCTTTCTCGGTGATGCTTGGACCACAGGGAATTGAAAAGGGCTTTACCATGCTTAACCATTGCTTAATCCTCTCCCCACTTGGCACAGAAAGGGAACACACACAGAGAAACACACACACACGCACACACACAGGAGGAAAATGGGGCATACCTGCCACACTACTTGAGTATCAAGGTCAGGGGAGAATTATCTTTGCCACCCAGAGACGCCTGTCAAAATACAGGGACACAAACACAATCACAACTCTTCCAAATGTAGGCATTTTTACAGCACTGGGGGGATAGGGGTCAGGCAGGTTGTGTCTTCCCAGGGTGCATTGCTCAGTTGGTGGCCATTCACAGTAACAGGGTCAGCTGTTGTGTCTCTGTGGGGGGTGATGGAGGAGGAGGCTGGTCTGCAGGATCGGGTTTAGACCAAACTACAAGCAGCCTTGTCGACACTCTGGGCAGCATGACCGACAGATCAAGTCTTGATAAAGACTCTAAGCTTTCAACAGACAATATACACACATTCCTCAGGCTATACGGGGATTATCCGTTCTCACTGCTGCTTCCTCCATGTTTGAATTGTGTTCATCCTCCCTTGGGGTTCGCCCTGTGCTGGAACGTCATGGCCAAGCTGCGAGCAGGAACCTGGCAACCCAAAGGAGCTCGTCTTTCCCACCAGCTACCTCCTTTCCCAATCCCTCCGTCCAACATCCCACACAAACTCTCACTCCAGGAATCTGCTAATCTGCCCTTCTTCCTCCTCCTCCTCCTCCTCCTCCTCTAGGAATTACTAATGACTCATTCTAACCAGATTAAATGACCGCCAAGGGAGAGAAGCTCTATTCTGTTGATATTATATAAACAGCAGAGAAATTCACTCAGGATCAGATGATGCAGTTAAAAAAGGGGAGCAAAGGTCTACATAGATCTAAATACCAGCTAGTTGCTTTATCCTGTACAGAGGGCAATCTGAAAATATCTCTTCATTATTGACTTTCTTAAGTCAACGGGACCCATTCTAGGCTGAGGGTTATCACATTTGTGTGTGCTTGCATGCATTTGTGGTTGACCGTGAATTGTTTATACTGTATATTCACTCCTGGCCTCAGTTTAGCCCCTCTGATTGTGAAGGAGCCCAAACAGGAGGCTCTCATACTCAGTCAGCGTCACGTCCCTGTGTATATGGAGACAAAAGAAGAGATAAACACACTGAAGTGCCTCATGGACGTTGGCCAAACACTGATTTCTTTAACCCAATTCACATTTATGAAGGTGCTACATCGCCGCCTATCTGTGTCATTGCTCTGGATATAACTGGTGAGGAAAGCCACTTTCTGTTCACCATGCAGCTTTGGCTGGATGGATCACAAACTTCCCACTGTGGACCTCCCATGGTTAGATGGTAAAATATGCAACTACTAACAATAAATCCAGAATGTTGAATGACTACGATTTCATTGGTGTCATCTGATCAGTCACAAGATGTTCAGCCAGATACACACCTCCTCACCCATCCTGTCCTCTGTCCAGATGTCCTATGTCTGTCTTCTGCTTCTTAATCCAGCAGTAGATAAAAGTCGCCTCTGCTGCTTTGTTTAACCTGATATGTCATCATACATTTCTATTCTACACAGCTTCCTGAATCAGAGTTCAGTCTGAATGGAGAAATGTGTGTTATTGCAAATAATAAAGTGAATAATGATTGTTTTGTTCATAATATCTGGGGAAAGGGACGTCAATGCCAGAACATGTGGGAACATGAATGAATGTATGAGCTGACACTGGAGACAAGCTATAGGGAGAAGCTCTTATAACATGTGGTCATTCTTGAACTGAATTTCTTTTTTTTATGCCACTTTATGGCAGCAGCTGGCAGCTACAATTAATCACAACTGAAAATACATCCTTAAACTACACCGGAAGATGGAGAAACTCCCCTCATGATAACACCAGGCTCCCCTGGGTGGCGTTAATTTTCTCTGAAATATCACACATCGCTCCATTGTGCAACAATACTAACTGATTAACAGCCTGTTCTTCCTCATCTCAACACTTCACACTCATGTTTCCTCCCCCTCACCTGGATCCCTGCTACTCTTGTTGTGAGAGATCTTTCCTCTGCAAACTCCATCCCAGACTTCAATATGAAGCATCACATCTGACAAGGCGGTCAGATGTGCAGACAGTGACCACTGTAGTTATATATATAGTGTATATTTCAACAAACAACTCAATGAAGATTGATGTAAAGAACATATATAAACATACAATGCAGCTGGCCTGTAAACTCTTTCAGGGGAGACATGAAGCAGCAGTTTTTCTCCTACACTGCTGTTTCCCATTAAACTCATTCATGTATGATATAATTTTGAATAGGGGAAACTGGATCTGGAAAAGTATCCAAAAATGTCAAATTGCTTCTTCTAGCAGGATAATCACCTGCTCTAGCAGTGAAATTACCATTTGTCAAACAATTGCCCTGATAGAGCTTTACTGACAAAAAACCTGGTCTGGACTTTTATGTAACTGAAATCCAGCTCACTTAAACATAATAAATGTCCGTAGATATGTTTTCATTAGTGTATAATTATCTGAATGTAGGAATCGTAGTGTTTTTGTTATCTTAGAATGAGACGTTTTTATCTATATACGCTGCGGGTGGCCTTTTATGGAGTCTGCCATGTTTCTAGAGTAGCCCAGAATGGACAAACCAAACACTGGCTGTAAATAGGACCTTTCCGTTCTTTTAGCAAGTTTCTCCTACAGACTTCACAGCCCGTTTTCATTCCCACACTGTCAAATACAGACACGAGCAGTCTTCAGTAACTTGTCAATCTGCAAAATCACAGCTAGATGCCACTAAATTCTACAATTGGTCCCTTAATCAGATATCAGTTAATGTATGAAGTCCTGAACTGATGATCTATTAACTGTAAACTATTCACATAAAGTGACTTGATCATTTGTTTATGGTGAGCAACAGTAATGGATACATCTTGCATTAATGTATGCATTCAATCATCATGAGTCATGCATTAGTTAAGCATTACTTAAGTATATGATTTGTACCCTTATTATAAAGTGTTACCAGAACACCATATGTCCATAAAAGCATAAAATATGTGTATCTATTCTAAAAAGACACATTCATGAAAAAGTTTATTGGATTATCTAAACATACCAATGATTAATTGCATACACATCTCTGTCTCCCTCAGTACCTCGCCATACCTCTCTCTCTCTCTTTCTCATACACACACACACACAAACAAACACTTCGGCTACTGTAGGCACTCTGCCCCACCCTCTCCCTCTCTCCCTTCCTCTCCCTCTCTCTCTCTCTCTCTCTCTCTCTCTCTCTCTCTCTCTCTCCCCCCTCTTCCTCTCCCTCTCTCTCTTCTCCCCTCCAGAAGTGGAGGAGGCTGAACTCGGACTAGATTCAACTTAAAGTATTTAGAACTGCTTGACAGAGTCCGACCAAACACACAAGAAGTGTATAAAAAGTCACAAAAAAACACAACAGAGCCGAAAAAATATATACAGAACTCTGGAATAAAGACCATGCCTTAATGACAGTGAAACTCTGAAATACGTCTATTTCAACGACTAAAGCACTATAATGGATTAACACAGAAAATGATTTTTTTAACAGGCTGAACTTGTCACATAAAAACAGCTGGTTGCACACAGACTACAGGCTATCCATGTGTGCATGTAAACCTCTCGAGAAAGTCCAATCCCCCCAAGTTGCACTGTTTAAAAGTTGCTTAAAACATTAAAAGTAGGTGACACTTTTTAACTTTATCTTTAAGCAGGTACCCCACATTGTTGTAGATGTTTCATCCGCTTACCTCAGCCCCTGTCAGGTCTACACTTGAGTAGAGAGCCGCCAGCAGCAACAGGGTGCCGGACGGTAACAGCATCGTGGCGGTGCGCGCTGGAAACTGTGTGCGCAAGAGTGCACGGTGCCCGCAAACAACAACCACCTGTTGGCCGCTTCTTGTCCTCTTTCTTCGGGTAATTCGCGGCTTATCGGCAGAGCACCAGCAGCACGTTTAGCTGCATCTTTGTCCGAAACGATCTGAGGTTCTGATCAATGCCACTTGGTCTTGTTTCTGCTGTACCACACCCCCCTCCCAAAAACGACCACCCTCGCCCATGCAAACGGACTCAACCCCGCTGTAACAAACACTTTGACTTTTCTCGGTAAGGAGAGGGACTACTCGGCACACTTTGCTGTTTTTGTGAGAATATTTGCGGAGGGTTTTTCTGTGCCACAGGTACCTGTTGTTAAACTTTTCAGTTCGGGGAACCTGCGCATCACTTTTATCACTTTCCTTCATCTTCCCATCGTGCGCAAGCCCGGGGTGACTGTAAGTAATCTATTTTATCAGTGTGATAATAAATTAATAACGTATAGTCGTGGAAATGTTATTTTATTATCATTGCAACTGTTGGCTTCCATACAGAGCACCTTGTGGAGTTCTTCTTTACAGCAAAAAATAGTGAAATAATAAAGTTGTAAATCTCGTTTAACTCTAACCAAGCAGGTTCATATGTATGGACTCATGAGTAGCCTGTGATTGTTAACGTTGGGGGTCTTAGTGTGCCTCAGGTCGGGCAGTCATGCTGTAGAAGAGTCTCTACAAGTGAAATAGCGGAGTGGAACTGAAGTTAGCGGTGCGCATGAGTGGAACCATGCAAGGGCAACACAAGAGAGGACTGAAGAATCTGAGGTAAGCGGGACACATATGAGCACATTTCACTGCGAAACAGGACCACACGAATGATTGATCAGCAGCATTATTAACGCTGTCATCTCCCCTGACTGCAGGCTGCTGCTTCTGTGTGTATCCATCGCCATCCTCGCCTCAGGAGTGCAAGCGGTAGGTTTCCTCTCCCCCCCCACCTCCCCTCACCTGTTGTTCATTTATGTCATGTAAGCTCTCGCATGCAAACTGCAGCCTGTTGACAATTAAGGTATAAAAATGAAACCGATAGTATCTCCAGGCTAAGTTTGTCTTTTTACTTCAAACTGCTCAGCATACACTTGCAGACCGTGGGAGTGTCTGGTTTGAGGAGTTCTTCCAGTAGGAGGGTTCTTGGCTTTGCATGCTGGTAAATAGCAGCAAGCTCAAAACAGTTGATTGTGAAATGGCTCATGTTGTAATTTCACTAGTTGAACTGGTTGGACTGATGAAATTCAGTTTTGCTTTTGCAAAAACAAATGGGGTTTCATGAAGGGCTACGATATGTTGTGCTTTGCTTGACCCTTGACCCTGCAGGGATTTAGGGGCGGGGTCATGACCTCTGCAGGCATGATGATAACTTGTTGAGTGTAAATTTTTCATTATGGAAACACAGGAAAAATGAATTAAACACATCTGAATATTTACATGCATGCATTTAAAAACTGTCACAAGTACCATAGTTATGATTTAGAGTTTACAGATTTTTTCCCCCCAAATCTGTCCTACAACAATATTCACATGTATATTGAAATAGTTATTGGTGCTGTAATCATTCCTCCTTTCCACACTGAAGGGATCATTTCCTAGTGTGACTCCACTGCAAGAAATGGGGGTCAATATCCACAGTCCTAATTTTAAGCATGTATGTATGTAAGAGTGAAGCTAATATGAGGTTTCAGCAGTCTCAGTTAGACAAATCAATTGAGTATCTTTCACCGTTGCAGATTTTTTTAGTATGAAAGGCCCTCTTTGTTTTACCATCCCTCCACTGTAGCTCAGCAAGGAAACACTGTCCAGGGAAAGGCAAAGAGGGATTGTTTTACTCAGTCTGCAAAAGCAATGGCATTGCCCTTCAAAAAAACATCCTAACTTGTGCCTTTGTCATTATGAATTCAAATATGTTTTTCATTTAATTACAGGAATACAATGTCCCTGTGTGATAGATAAAGCAGGCCCTTGATGTTTTGTGCCTACACACAAACTCAGGGAAAGATTCACCATTCATGAGTTGTGTCAATTAAAGGTTAAAGGTCACAGGTCCCTACAGCAGCCTAAGTTCCTCTCAGAATCTCTTTGAGCATGATGCTGAATTTATCTGCTCACTTGTTTTAAGTATCTGAGCTAGACCTCGGCCGCCACATGTGGACCGTGGGAGGAGTTCCTGATTAAATGTTAGCCAGATCCTGATATTTAAAATAGCAACAAGTAACTTTCATTTTGTGTTGATTCTGGCAGCCCCTGTGGACAAAAGCAGTAGTGTTTCTTCCACCTTGTTTCATTTATTTCAAGAGGAATCAACAGAATCTGACCCGGTGGCAGACATTAAGAATTTATGAATTATGATATTCAAACTCTCTCATAACCAGTTAAATCTCGTAGGTTTAAAGAATCATAGTTACATTATTACAAGACAATACAGAAGACACTTTTCAAACTGCACTCAAATCTGAATTATGGAGGTAAAATTTATTTAGACTATATGTTCACTGTGTGTTCACAAATGTATTAATGTGAGGAAGGTTAGTCTCCTCATCTCTCCACACAGATCTCGAGGTTTCGTCTTTTGCTATTTTTCATTTCTTCATGGGACGCTTCAGTGGACGTCTAAGTCAGATGCTTTCATGATTCATTCTTTAAATCTGTTTTCCATTGCACTTGGTCACTTTTTGCTCTTGCTTGATTTGCCAACATCAACAGGCGGGCATAAAACCTTTTTTTGATATTTTTACTTTTCTTCTTATTTCTGGCGTTGTCACTCTGTTTTTATGCACAAAATTGAAAATGTGCATAACAAAGTCTTTGCTTGCTCCATGTGTTTTTTGTCACCCTGTTCCCGCTCTGGTAAAAACCTTCCTGTTCTTGTAAAAGGATTTGTTGTTTTTCTCACATACCCACATGCATAAACACCCTCACTTGGATTTTGCTGTACTCCTATAAACTAACTACTCATTAAAGTTTAAGTGAAAGACAGAATGCAGATGTTTCGTTAAACGATTGTAATGTTTGTCTGGGCCAGAGTAACAGCCCACAAAAATGGTCCTTTGTGAGTTACTTTCTATTCTGTCTCATCCAGACCTACTGACTTTGCATGGCCTACTTTATTTTTCCTTTTATCAAGCTCATGTATTGGGGTTAATTAAAGGAAAATGCACACATGATGCTGGAACCATGTGTGTTTGTGAACGTGCAGCATGTGAGTTTGTTTTTTTTTTCTGCTTGTTAAGCTTGTGCTGGATGTCAGATGGTCAGTGGTTCTGTCAGATTTTTAATATCATACTCAAGGCTCTCAGATAAAAAATTATTTTGTCGGGTGTGATGAAAAGGCTCGTTGTCTCTTGCTTTTATCAGATTAGGTCAGACCACGATTAAAAGCGTGTGACACAGCTCAGCTCCTCTGTTTATTGTGCAGCTTCGCTCCAAGGCGGTGATGCTGGAAGACAGCGGTCTAATTTTAGTTTGGCACTGTCTATGTGTTCAGTGCAGGCAAGTAAACTGTCAAATGCAGAAACAGCTCACATTAACTATACAAATAGCTTGAGTTAAAACAAAATAGCTTCAGTTTCTGGGTGAAGTACAACCAGCATCTGGATTTTTTACATTAGAGTTTTACATTAGAGTTGAAAGGATCATAAGGAGACGATTTCAGCAGTTATGAGCTGTAGGTAATGAGACAGTTGAAGGAAGCCGTAACCAATCAAACATCACTCTCTGAATACTCCTGTCCGACACACAATTTTTTAATCTCAACTGCACCTCAGAAAATATGTTTCTGTTTAATATCAGCTCTAAATCTGACCCACGGGACTGTTTCAGTTCTTTGAACCAGACCCCAGCTTGTGTGTTGTACAGTTGTTTCCCACCATCCATCTCCACATGACGTTTTACATTTGGAATTTCCCTACCTTAGGAAAATATATTTCTCAAGATATTTTGCATGTGGAATTTAATTTGTTCTAATTTTCACATTCCTCTCCCATCGTAAACAAGTGATTACATGGGGTGTGATGTTGCAAGAGTCTCTGTAAATAGGACTAAGGGTCAAGTTATGATAGAAAAGTATTGCATGTTTTCAAACCACAGCGGAAGGCAACTGAGTTTATGCTTGTTCCGAACGGCCACGCTTGAAGGAGGGATGAAAAGTTGGCCATTATGGACAGAGGGGAGATAATCATTTAAATACGGAGATAGTGGCGCACATTTCCAGAAAAATCTCTCCTGGAAAGCATTAATAGTGAGAAATTCAAACCCTGGGTCTTTTCTCACCTCTGCACAGCTGGACAATCACGGCATGAAGTAGGTGAATGTCGGTCAGTTTTTTAGCTTTGGAAAGTTACAGAAATTGTCAGACATATACTCTCCAATTCCAATGTCAGAAAGGTGTAGGAGGAGAGAGTTTCCAAAGCTGTTGGACCATCGGTCATGTAGTTCTAACAGAGTGTACTAGGGCCATGAAGGCCTCAGTGTGCTTCAAAATGCTTACTGGATTGTTGAACAGTATCTGAAACCCTCTTTTTTTAAGCACAAAATTATTTCTACCACTTTTCATATGTACAACCAAGTGCAACAATATGAAAGCCTACAAGGAGGAACTGTCCACAAGTTATGCACCGTTATCCCTATTTGAACTTTCCTTTTTGTTTCCCCCCCACTCTACGATGGCCGGATTTTCATGCCACTAGAACAGATACAAACACGAGCTAGTTAATTTCGACAATATCCCCACCTTAAATTAATCAATATGTTTTAAAGTACTTGCCCGATCATCAAACAGCATCTGAAACCCCCTCTCTCGACATGTTTTTGATGCTGTAATTGGGGGATGGCGTGTCCAACAATTTTTGGAACCAAAATGAACGAAAAGCTCGCCCACAAGTGCTGCAACTAACAATTACTTCTATTATAGATCAATCTGACAATTATCTTTTCTGTTTTTTTCCAGGTTTTGTCTATGAAATGTCAGAAAATATAATAAAAAAGTGTGGCCATGCAGAATAGTTATACGAATCTTTGCCTTTAGTGTTTGAACGACGTTTGAACTGGTTTGTTTGATGCATACTGAACCCTTAAAATCAGCTTTGTTGGTCATACCTGCTTCCACTCTAAGGAGCCTTGGGGACAGTTCCTATGGTACATCAGAGGATCCTATAATCTGGATTTCCTGCTGTTCATTCTACATGGAGGTGCCAGAATTAAGTGGGAAAAGGGAGCCACTAGGTTCATGAGAGCAAAAATGTAGTTCTACGCATGGATGCGTGTACACCCCCTCTTCACACATGAACCATGCACACAGATGCCGTTTATCAGTGTCCATTGGCGGAGGAAGGAAGGCTCTTGAGGCAGTAATGTTAACAGGATGTTTTGTATAGAACCCTCTGAGAGGCTTTGATTCTCTTTTTTTCTGAGAATATATTTCAAGATGTGTTTGAGCACAGTGGAATGAGGGGATGATGCTAGCAGAGTATGTCTGAGTTGTGGGAATTTGTAACTGTGAAAAGAGACCTTTTTGGCTGCAGATTCCTATAGTACCTGGAAGCCCAGCAGCAACATCTGCTTTAACAATTACCCTCCTTTCAGTTGAGTGGATGATTGTGATAAATGTTGTTTCTGCATGTGCCTTTTTGGCCTGGTTGATTTTGCAACCACGCGGTCAAACCAAATCAAACCTACTATGTTGTGAATATCCATAGGAAAATAGGAAAAAGATGCAAATGATGGAAATGTAGTTGACATTAGCTACACAGCTGTGTAATTCACCTGGGACAGGTTAAAAGCATAAGCCTGCTTCTAAATGTGAACAAGTGATGCATCATGGGGTCACCTGATGGAAAGGATGGAAAGCAGACACGTGACTGACCTCTCAAATGTGATTGTTTTATGGGGGAGGAAGGCATGTGTCCGGGCCAAGGGGAAGATGT